CTTTAGTTCCATCATATGTACAAATTTCTTCGCAAGCTGCACACTATCCTACTGAATAAGCAGCAGAAGAACACATGATTACACAAGCAGATAAAGGTGCCTTTTAGCATCATTAGCCTTAGGAGATTTCCTCATTTGTAGAAATCTTCACAACCAACGAAACCTGAACATGCTGCTCACAGATTCCATGTTTTATAATTCCTCAAATTGCATATATACTAACTCTTTCAAAGCAGTGTCACAGGGAGAATACAGTTTATCCTTTTAAACATGTTTAAAATTTTCAGTCCATTTGCCACAGTGTTTTCAATCCTGAATTTTCTTATCACCTTGATTTATTAATCATTTTGCAATGAGGCAATTTACTTGCTTCTTTCCACTTTTCACTATAGCTGCGTTTTCCATACTAACACTGCATGAATATAAACCCTGTTGGACTTAGCCCAACTATCTATTACAGTGTCTTAAATTAACCACTTTGGATAAAAATGATAATGAAAAAGCAAGGGGTTTACTTATTATTTAATCCAGATTAACCCACAGCACAATAAATGAAATAAAATACTATTATATTCCACTTAAAAAAAAACAGCTGACTGCAATTCTGATCTCCTTTTCTGAAGGTTAACTTAATGCAAGACTCAACAGTGCATCAATTGTCCAATAAAATATGGCTTTAAGTTTACCCACTGAATATACTGCATCTATTTTTTGTAAATGATATTTACAAAATATTAGCACTGCAAACAAAAGCTGTAAACCTTATTTTAGCAAAATAAAGAGAAACAATGCAACACAACACTTCACAAGAACCACCAATATCCCTTTAATATCCCTTTATTTTATTAGTTTTTAAGTATAACAATTTTTTTCAAACACACACTTCCAACCTTCCTGGAAATAAAGCTTAATTAAAATCTCAAAACAAAAACAGCTAACAGTTTTGCAAAGGCATTCTGCTACACTAACAACCAAACTGAAATAAATTTCATCCATCTGAGTATACTAGACATAGTTTCTACTTTAAAAAAAAAAAAAACTTGGCACTGCAAAAGCATTTCAATAACCCTTCTCCAACAAAATTCTGAAAATATAAACATTGAGAACATTCCAGGGCCAAATCAGCATTGCATTTTATCAGCAAGATTTAGCAGAAGATTTAGGATCAACTTTGAAATGCATAAACATTAAATTAGTGATCAGCTTGCTCCAAAGGATGCATAATTTACAACTGAGAGTACAGATGAGCTGGCCTACCTCCAAAACAATCTTTTATCATGGAGTACAATGAAGTTGGCTGCTGCTTCTTCAGCCAATATGGTTGGGGGAAAAAAAAAAAAAAAAAACAGAAGGTCATTAACAGATATCCTACATTCCAGTCATCACTGGAATTTTCCCTTATCTCAAGGCAAGCTACTTCACAACTTCGGATTTTTTTTTTTTCTCTCCAGAATACAGAGAGAAGCTTTTTTCATGTGAAGGACTGAAAGAAGCAAATCTAATAAGAGATGAGCCAAAAAGCTAACACAACAAAATAAATAATTGATATTAAAATAATTGATATCAAGTATCTAGTGAACTTCAGGTACAAACAAATTAAGAATCTGAGGACTGCAGCAGAATGACATTATCTTTAGTAATAAATATAAGAAATAACAGAATTATGACCAAGAAGAAAATAATATGCCCTCAGAGCTACGAGCAAGTTTCAACATTAAAAATACATTGTTTACTCTCTTTTCTTTCATTAGCTTCAATAACAACTGCGATATCTGTGACATCTAATATTACTACAGAAACTAAGGCACAATCCCCACTAGTAATTTAAAGCACATGGAACCACAGAAAAACCTATTTAGAAATAATCCCGCATAACAACTTTTACAGCTGTTTTGTTTTCTTCAGAAGATAAAATGATGATATTTTTAGTTAAGATGAGTTGATAAGCTGTTTAAATAAATGGGAAAACATTCAGACATGAATATGAAATTATCACGATTTTAGAATATACTGTCACCATAAATATCAAAAATTCAAGTTAGTCAAATTATGCAAGAAATCTATTATCATGTAGGTCGTGAACTATGACAACTCTCAAAGAAAACACAACCCTAACTGATAATTCTGTAGCATACATGGTTGGAAGAAGAGAAAAGAGAAACTCTTGGTCCTGAAAGCTTAGGAAAACTCCTGAGATGCACAGGACAGTACAGCAGCAATTCAGTCAGATAGCAGTGCTTGCTAGGACTACGTTTGGAGTCTTACAGCAAAAATACTATTCACCTGAAGCTATCAAAATACGAAAACCAAATATTTGCAGAGTAAGAAAGTACAAAGCTTCAGGGGAAAACAGGTAAAAGTGATGTTAATTTTTACTAACAGAGCACATTTCCAGTTTCATCCACTCAGCACCAAGCATAGGAGAAAGACAATACTCCAATAACATGTAAAACATATTTGCCTTCTAAGCAGGCTCATACTTCCTACCAGTGTTTTACAGACCTTCACGGCTACACTAGCTATTATACAACAACTAGTCATTTTCATTTATTTCAGTAGCCACAAAAAAAGAGAGTATAAATTTAGTATACTCAGATTTATCTTTCAAACCAATCTTCACTTGACAAGTAAGTTTTCCACAGTTAATAATACTATATTCTTAAAAGGTACCATCTGACCAAAGATGGTTATACATTAGAAGGCCAGAGACTTTCTGCTTTTCTTTCATAAACTATTAAGCTGGCACTGTGATCAAACAGGCAGCTTCTCTCAAGACACCTGTCTATACAGAAAATCCCATGCAACCCTCATGCTATCACATGCTTGCATGTAAAGCAGCAAGGCGAGCCAGATTTGGGGAATAAGCCATTTTTGATGAGTTAATTTTAACCCAGAGTATATCTCTAATCTGGTACTGCAAGACGCTATATCTATAATTGCATCAGCACTGCATGGGGAACAAACATAGAAATGGAACTGCTTCTTTTGGAGAAAAGAAACGTCCATGACACCATGCGCCATACCACACGAGGAATACAAAGCATGGCTAGGTGTGCTTAGAAACCAGTGACTCCGTTCCATTCAACACTTCATACTCTTTACTTTCACACAAACACCCTGCAAATATGAAATATGTACAATTTATTATACACTTGGCCCTAAATAAACTCTACAATGCTTGTCTATGCATGGGCATTTTGATGCTGCTTTCTAGTTTCTCACAAAAATTAAGGACAGGTTTGCAATAAAGTGCTTGCTTAAGTGGTGGCCACACTACTGCAGGAGTGGCATGTTAGTTGGCTCACTTGAAGCAAAAGCTGTCCATCAGCATATTGCAAGTAGGTTACACTATCATTCTTCAAAAGAGTTTTCTCTGAACACACAAAGAATTCTCTTAGTTAATTTTTAAGCTATTTTAAAGTATTTTTCTCACTACAAACACCGAGAGAGTTAAGGAGAGCTTTACAGGCTTCAATTTTCCATATGGATAAAAATCAAATCAGGACACATGTTGTAACAACATCAGATAGATTAATTCGAGATTAAGACAGTATAGGTTATCTATTGTCACAACTAGATGCAGGCACAAGTTATTTTAAAGCATCTCTAAGAAGAAACTATGTTTGGAATTTTTACTAGCATTTTTAACCATCTCTGTTTAAGATTATCAGTGAGCTGAAATCTCTAAAGCCTTAGTTTATTTTGACATAAAGCACAGAGATAGAGTGGTGATCACAAGCAGTATTTTGGCTGTTATGAATATGATAAATAGATACTTGGGGTCAGGACCAAGAGTTTGGATAACCAGTTGATTATTAAATATTACTCCTCTTATAAATCCTGCCATTCAGAATGGCTGTATTCAATAGCCCTTTCAAGCTACTATAACGCAATGTAGCATGACTAAATTTAGCCTTCAAAAATAAAGATACATAGTAATTTTGAATTTCACATTTTCTTTTAATTGACATGATTGTAACAGTGTTTCAGAAAGAAATAGATATAAGAAAGAAGCAATCTACGCTGTGAGTTGAAAGCAAATGTTTTAAGAACATCAATTAAAAGAAACATCAAGATTTGCACAGACACATATCTAGTATTTTCTACAGCAGTAAGTATAAAAGATATAAGATAAATTATCCTGAAACAAAACAAATAATAAAATATAATTTCTAAACAAAAGCTTTTAAAACATATAGACAAATAAAGTTTAGGTAAGTGTCCAAACACCTTGAAACAACCCCTCAGTTGATTAAAGCTTACGTATGCTTTCATTTAGTGTTTGCGTTGCCAGGATTGAGTGACATTGGTCTCAAAGTAGGCACAGAGTTTTTAAAATAAAAAGCACAAGCAAGGAACTAAGGATTAATGACAATAGTATTACAGATATAAATAGATGTTAATTTCCCTATCACATACTCTGAACTCAATCAAGTAACTGCTAAGATGCCAAATGCCAGTGTTTTTGGTGTCCACAACATTTCATGCCTTAGTGAAAAGCAAAATGGTAAAGTTACTTATGCTTTCTAGTTTCTTCCATCATTTTACTCCCATAAGCACAGTTTTTGTAGAGGAAATAACCCGTGCTGTCCAAGTAACAATGCAGAGAGAGAAAGAAAAAAAAAAAAAAAAAAAAAAGAAAGAAAAGAAAGGAAACAGCAGCACAGACACCTAGTGCTTTACGGCCATTCCCAAACTTCAAACAAGGATGACTTAATGACCTCACTGCGACTTCGCTACCCATATCCCAGCTTAATAGCAAGCAAGAACGAGGCCAAACGCCCTCGTTTCACGCCCCCGGAGGAAACAATGCGGGGCCTGGGCCCGGCACGCGGAGCAGCGCGCGCAGAGCGCAGCCGCC